GGAGTATTTTTTGTTTCTTTTTTTATCCCCTTGGCTAGTGTATTAGCTATAACTCTTTGTTGTGAAGTTTTAGTAGTTGCCTTAGGGTTTATAGTACACATTTTTCACCTATCACAGTTTACCTCTTTTTGTAATCTACGAGCCTCCCAACAATGAACTTTCACTTCTTTCCTCCTGTCCTTTGCACTGTTATTGTCACATTTTACTTATTTGTATGTTATACATCACCTAGTACATTGTTATTATTTTTGCTTTAATTGGTTGCTTGCTATTTTAAATATTTTAAATTAAAAGTGAAGATTTTATGACTACATACAGATGGCTCCCCAATTAACATTGGTTCAATTTAGGATTATTTGGCTTTACAATGGTGGGAAAGCAATGTGCCTTCAATAGAAACCATACTTTGGATACCCAAATGTGTTAGTTTGTTTCACATTGCTATAACAGAATGCCTGAGGCTGAGCAATTTGTAAGGAAAAGAGGCTTATGTGACTCATGATTCCTAAGGCTGGGAAGCCCAAGAAGCCTGTGCCAGCACCTGCTGGCTCCTGGTGAGGGTAGGTGCTGCTTCAGCTCCTGGTGTAAAAGCAGAACAGCGAGCGGGTAGAGCAGAGAGGGAGCACAGGTGCCAGAGACAGGGGAAGTGGTAGACTCGCTTTATAACAACCTGCTTTCACAGTAACTAACTCATACCCTGGAGACCTAGCTCCCTGGAAAAGGGTTACTAATCCAGCCCCAGGAGTAGAGCCCCTCTGACCTAAACACACCCCACTGGGCCCACCTGTTAGAGATTCCACCTCCCAACATTGCTGCGCTGGGTCTAAGCCTCATCAGGAATGTGGGTAGAGAGAAACCACATCCAAACCATAGCACCATATAACTATTCTGTTTTTTATGTTCAGTACAATATTCAACAAATTACATGAGTTATTCAGTACTTTATCATAATAGGTGTTATGTTAGGTGATTCTGCCCAGCTGTAGGCTAATGTAAGTGCTCTAATCATATTTAAGGTAGGCTAGGCTAAGCTGCAATGCTTGGTATGTTAAATGTATTAGATGTGGGACCAGCAGATGGTGGAATGATTACATTGCTGAACTCTCACTCAGTTGACTGAGGTTTAAGTTCCAGACCTAGTCAGTGGCTTAAACCTCATGCCAGGTGCTTATGCGAGCGTGCCCAAAATCCCTAGAGGAGACTGGGGGAGAAGGAATTGTGGTGAGGCCATCCCCCCAGGGGGTGATTTCTCACTTTCTCTTTCTTTCTCTGTCTCTCTAGTGAGCACACATGCCCTATAGCAAAAATCTCTCTTTAAAAATGAAGTTATTAGATGCATTGTCTATATTTTTAACTTAATATATTTTCAATTTATGATGTAATTCCATCGTAAGTCAAAGCACATCTGCAGTTACCATTTCTGGTGTTTGTCATTCCTTTGTGTACATTCAAGTTTCCATTTAATATTCTTTTTCTTCTGCTAGGACTTTATTTAGTGGAAAGCGCCTTGTGATGCACTTCATCAGCTTGTGTATGTCTGAAACATCTTTGTATTGTCTTCATTTATTTTTTTTTTTTGAAGAGGTTTTTGCTATAGGGCGAGGGCGCTCGCCAGGCAGATAGAGACAGAGAGACAGAAAGCGAGAAATCACCCCCCAGGGGGGATGGCCACACCACAATCCCTTCTCCTCCATTCTCCTCTCAGGATCTTGGGCATGCATGCACACGTGCCTGGCGTGAGTTTTAAGCCACTGGGTCCGGGACGTGAACCGCGGTCAACTACATGGGAGTCCAGCGACATAGCCATTACGCTAACTGCTGGTCCCTTAATTTTTGAAATATATTTTTGCTGGATATAAAATTCTAGGTTGACAGGATTCATGCACCCCCCCCCCCGGCCCTTTAATTTTTTTTTACATTGTTTTCTAGCTTGCATTGTTTACTGTCTCTCCTTGCTTATTCTGTATATTCAAATAGGTGGGGTTTTTTTTTTTTTCCATATATTTTGTTCAACATTGTTGTTATTTCAGGAGAAAGAGTACATCTGGCCCCTCTTCCTCCATCTTGCCTGAAAGCAGATATGTTTTGAGTGATTTTTAATTTCTTTTTTTTTTTTTTTAATTTCCACAAAGCATGTTTGTTCACCAGAGAGAGAGAGTGTGACTAAGAAATGGGGACGGGGGAGAAAGCAGCCCCCTAATGTGGCATTGTCACACTGCAATCCTTTCTCTTCCATCTCTCCATCTGGTCAGGATTTGGGGCCTGTTCACGCTCAAATTGAACTGCAGTCAAGCCGTGTGAGATCTGGCTCCCTTAACCAGGCTAGACCTCATGACGAGACCTCACAGTGGGTGCCTCTCTCTCTCTCTCTCTCTCTCTCTCTCATATGCATGCTCTCTATCATGAATAAAACAAACAGAAACTTTTAACCAAACAATTGTAACTCTTATGAGCTCTGAAGATGATCGCTCTTATATTTTCCAGTGCTGGAGAGGATATGGAAAGTGGACACTCCTACCCTACGCTGGTGGGCATATATATTGACCTCGTCTCTCTCAGGGGTGCTTGTCAGCATGTAACAGGAAGCTTGAAAGTGAGCACACTTTGACCCATAATTTTAGTTTTAGGAACTCTTTCTGAACAGGTTAAGAAAATGAGCAAAGATTTAGGTACAAGCTGTTTCCTACTCCAGTGGTTATAATAGTGAAAATACTGGTGGTCCAGCCTTTTGCCTGATGGCTATATGAATGACTGGGTCATCGGGAAAGTCATGAAACACTTTTGCATAGAAAAATATGTCATGACTTTCCCGACAACCTAATAGGTCCCACTTGGCCACCTGTGTGGTTCGAGTCCCATATACAACTACTTGAAAAACATGCCAGGCATGTGTGCGTGCATGCCAAAGTCCCAGAAGGAGAGATGGAGAATGGATCGTGGCATGCCATTCCCTATGGATAGTGCTTTTTTGCCTTTCCTCTCTTTTTCTGACTCTGTCTCTTTCTTGCAAGTGCATACAATCTCTGGCAAATTAAAAAATTGAAATACATGGCTGAAAATTAAATGATAAAAATATTTTATCATATGTAAAGTGAAAATACAATTTTATAAGACAGCATATACTACATAGTCCCATCTGTGTTTAAACACATTGATGCATTAGAAAAAGATTATGCTCTAAAATATGAGTATTGATTATTTCTGACTGGTGAATTTATGAGTGTATTTTTATTTACCCGTATTTTCGAAGTTTACCATAAATGCGTACTGCCTTTGTAATAGGAATAGTGTTGTTTTTGTTTATTTCGAATGTTTGTTGAATAGTTGCCTTTTCAGGCTGCGGGCCAGAGATTGGCCAGCTCTCCTACAGAAGGCCAGATAGCAAATGCTTTAGTATCGTGGCCAGACCTGCCTGTTGCTGTGCTTCACTGTTAACGGCACAGAGTCACCGCGGACGGTGTGGAAGTGAGTGGACGTGGCTGTGTTCGAGGAAGACTTAATTTTCAGAAAGAGATGGCAGGCAGTTTGGCTCACAGGTGTCCCTTGCCGACCCCAGCTGCAGGCACTGGGGGTCTAAGTTAAGGGAGGCCGGCTTGCCTTCTGTCCTTCGGAGTCGGCGAATCTCCTCAGTGTCATTGCTTTCCTTTTCCAGTGCATGTAGAAAGCTGTGGTGGGACAGAGTCCACATCAGCACGAAGCCATCCTCTCTGCCAAGTCGTCAAGTCTATTCCCCCTCATTGTAAAACCATTCTTTTTTAAAGTCATTGTTTTATTGTTATTCTGACTCTGTCTTTTCTCAACCAGAAAATATCTTATTTGGCAGCCCTTAGGACCTTGAGGCTTTAGTTAGAAAAAACTAGATGCTTAGTAACATTATTTTCTAGTGCTGAAAATATTCATTTCTGCAGTTAAAATGAGTAATGAGACCCAGTTCTTTCTCCTTTTCCAAGGAAAGCTTAAGTTGCCAAACTCGGGACCAGCATTTAGCGTAATAGCTATGTCGCTGGACTCCCATGTAGCCGACCGTGGTTCGAGTCCCGGATCTGGTGGCTTAAACTCACGCTGAGTGCATGTGCGTGCATGCCCAAGATTCTGAGAGGAGAAGGGATTGCGGTGTGGCTATCCACC